ACGTTGTAGTTCAAAGTTATAGAAAACAATAAGTTCTGAATTCTATAAAAATTTTTGAAGGCACCAAGAGGTATGATGGCCTTAAATTTCAATAATCCAAAAGCTCAAAGACAATGTCAAGAACCCATTTCATTCCATCTTTCCACGAGGCTATCACAAGTATATTGGCTTTATCCTTAATCTAACTGTATCATGGTTGCAAGATGGCTGTAGCTATTTCAAATTTCACATCTAAACCTGACAAAGTTTCTTAACTAATGTCTGTCTTAGTAATGAAAATTCCTTTTCCTGAAGTCCCCCAGCAGATCTCCCCGATGTCTCATTGGCCAACATTGCATAAGATGCCCATGTCTAAATGAGACACTGGTGAGAGGCACAGGACTACCAGATTGGCCCAGCTGCATCACTCTTCAGCTTCCCCTGGATCTCCTAGCTGTACAGAGTAGGGTGGTAACTCAATAAATATACACCTGCTAGAAAGGAGGATGACAGGGGCTGAAATTGGTTAGGTTCTCTTCAGGGCTCTGAGACAATTTCCCTTTCCCATGTTTGGATTTGTTTGCACATAGCCTGCAAGCTCTCTGGACCATGTTTCAGGTTTTCTCTGATTCCACATTGGGCCTAGCACACTGTCTTACATAAAGTAGGTGCTTCATAAAGACATGACTAAATATTCATTTTATGGAATTCACTGTAGCCAGATCAATAGAGCCCCGTGGACCATCTGAAGGGGCATCAGAATCACTGTCATTCACAGAATCTATTGTCTCGTGATTTGTGATAATCAGGATTTTCCCCTTCAGAGAGCCATTCTTCTGTGTATTCTTCCTGGTAAATCATTGGTCCCTCCACACCTTTACTTGCTGATTAGACAGACAACCTTCCATGGTTCCTCCTGGTTAATGCCATGCTGAATCTTTGAGTAATATCCCAAGCTGAGCAGGGTTGGTAGTTGAAACTAAAGCTTATGGCTTTCGTGGTAACACTTTACATGATGCCAGGTTACTTTGGGCCCCAAACGTTTTCCCGATTCTTCCCCTATATTTTTTATACACTGACTGAACATGTATCATTATTTTGCTGAATATCTAAAATTCCATCATTAGAAGCTCATCTCTTCACATTAACAGGCTTCTCTCTTTTCATATGCCCAGGGCTGTTAGCACATAAAGACAGGGAGCAGTCATCATTCGCTTTGGAGGGAATTCAGCCACCGACTCCTGGTGTTGAAATCCACCTGTCTTGGTGGTCTTCTTGCAACAGTGGTACAGGCAACACTGGAATTTTAATTCCTTAGGAAAGGAGAGGAGGCAGTGGTGATATGTAAGTAATCACTTCCAAACCTGACTGTATATATAGGTAATGTTTTTAAATACTGAATTCTGAGCCCCAGTCCATGAATTTAAGTCAAACAATGGCTCATGAACCAGTACTTAAGAGAGCAAAGCTGAGCTGAGGTTGGGTTGGTAAAGCTAGTGAGCATTGGGGCAGGGGCATTATTTTATCAGAGTGTGGCTAAGGCCATTGAGGGGCAGACAATGAGAAGAGTGGTTTAGGGTGGGTCCCAGAAGCAAAAGGTTACCTCAAGCTTTCTTTTTCCTCACAAAAGGAAAACAGCCCTACTTTATAATTTTGCTTGGCATTATCTCTTCTGGCATTGGACAAAGGTTAGTAGTAAAGAGATGAGAGAAAAAGGGAAAAAGTAACAATGCAGTGAAGGCAAAGGAAACAGTATGGAAAATATTCTGACACTAAATATGGTATGACCAGGTGTAGTCAGAATGCAGAATGGTATATACAGGTGTGTGTGTGTGTGTGTGTGTATGCTTTGGAGTGGATTTGTGTGTGTGCCTGTGTGTATGTGTGTAAAGTGTGTGCAACAGTATATGTGTGTGCAGGTGAAGGTGTAGGAGAAAAAAGTTTGGATATATGTAGGCTGTGACCAAGGACTTTTTGTGATATGCCAAGAAATTTGGGCTTTACCCTACATGAGACAGGGAGCCGCCAAATGTTTGAAACAAGGGAGTAATTGGATAGAGCTAAGTGTTTTAGAAAGATAACATTGGTGACAATGAATAGGATAGACTGGAGGGACAAGAAACAAACAAAAAAGCTACAGTACTCCACACACAACAAAGTGAGGGCCTGAACTGGGTGGTGGCAGAAGTTGCATGGATTGGAGGGGAGGGGGCAGGGAACCCACAGAATGTATAGACTGGCTGTGAGGTTGAAACATGGGTAAATATTCCTGGCTTTGGTGTTTGCATGGTAATGCTGCCATTAAACAATAGTAGACAATTAGGAGTAAGTTTCTTTTATACTGGTGTTGAATTGAGTTTAGGAAATATTGTCTGTCATGCTTATAGGGCATGTAGGTGGAGAGGATGGGGGGGTGATGAAAATACTGATCTGGAACTCAGGAGAGGAGTCTGGCTGGAGACTTAAGCAGTTTGACTTGAGCAGGGAATGGGCCCAGAGAAAATCTGTAGAGTGAAGAAGAGGATCCAGGATGGAGCTCTGCAAAACACCAGCAAGAAATGTGCCTGTGAATGAGACTCAGAAGGAGCAGCCAGGCAAGTAGGAGAAAAACAGAGGGAGAACAGAAGCCAGAGGCAGAGTGTGTTTCAGGAGGAAATCAAATATTAAAAGGAAGACATTTTAACTAGGAAAGAAATTAGAATATTTACAGATTGAGGAGACATTGCATTAGGGAGAGAATTTGAAGATGTACATTAAAGAGGGCATGACGGCTGGGGCAGGGTCCCAGGGGTAGTGAGAAAAGATGTGCTCCAGAACCCAGGCTGAAGTCCTATCCTTGGCCTGTTAACACACTGGAGAATGTTCATGATGTCATTCATCTAAAAATTACATTTCCCTTTCCTCTCAGGACTTATATTGAGTTTAAAGGTTATCTAGGCCTCTTTTGGCCTCTCTGTTCCATCCTCAGCTTTCCCATTTACCATTTCAATGATTTGAAGCACGTAAATCAGGAACAAAAATGAAAGGTGATAAATATGGATCTAAACTATGAGTATAGCTTTTTCTTAACACCTGCAAAAAGGTTTGTGGAAAGTGACTTTGAATGTTAAGTGTTAAAATTGTACATGTATAAATTTATAAACAACTATGTATATGTGAGTGTAGTGATGATGAATACTCAAAAATTTTATACAGATCGGGTAATGCCATAAAAATTTTAGATACTACTGAGCTAGAGATCTCAATTATTCATGTTAACCTTGGAGATTCATGGTATCAAAAAATGGTGCTGCTTCCCTAGGAAACTCTCTTGATAGCACAAATTATAAAGCTTTATTATGATCGTTTTAAAGATAAGAGAAAAGTTGTTCCTGGAGTCTGCTAATAACTGGAGCAAGTAGAGGGAATAAATACATGAAATATTTTTACAGATGTCATGTTATATCATCTCCACTTCCTTACACTGAGTTGTCCTTACAACTAACTCCAGGTTGAAATCTCTACCTGACTTCATGCCTTGCAGTAACACATTCCACTAAGGTGTTTCTCACTCTTTAAGGAACAAGCCTGAACACTTCAAAGAAAATGATGTTATGTTTCTACAGCTTCTTTTAATACGGGGTAATTAAAGAGAGATGAGAAGCCCAGATTTATCTTTCTATTAGTTCTTAGGGAGGTTGTGGTGTCTCGGGGACTGATATTTAATGTAGAATCCAACTTTATCTGAAACCCTTAGATTAGGGTTGACGCCCCCCTCAGAAGAACTCTTGTGCCCCAGAAGAGAATATCTGTGAAGCACCAGACACAGTTTAGACGTAAAACCTAATGATGCCCGTTCTCTGCTGGGAGAGGGGATGGTGGTGTTACTTCTCTGTTATCTCTGACCTGGAGAAAATGACACAGGGTCGACCTGCACTAGGATTCTTCCACAATAAAGAAAAGCTTTTTTTTGAGGCTGAATGTTAGCCTCAAAGAAGGACAGCGTAGGAGAAATATTTATCTTCTTTGTAAAAACACCTGAAAATCCGAGACCTTTTATTTTTTTATTTTTTGGTGTTGTTTTTATAGTTGTTCAAACTACAAAATACAAATGTGACTCCTCCTCCCCAAATAAACTAAAGTTCTTAAACCGAAAGCACACACTAGACTCTGGATAAAGGTCGGGAGAAAGTACTTAAATACTCCTAATGTGGGTCTGCACAACAGCGGCGCACCCCCAGCCTTATTTCCCCACTGAGTGCAAAAGAAGTCCGGCGGCGGGTGGGCCCCACTCCCACAGCACTGCAGTTGGAGCTGGAACTGCTGCCCCGGCTAATTCTCTCTTTGCGGCATCTGTGATCAAGAAAGTGGAAAACCTTTTCCTGGCCTAAGTTTACATTCGGTGAATAGACGACCTTACGACAATACGAGGAAGGCAGAAGGGAAGGAAGAATTCCCCTCTGCCAGGCACTTAATAGGCGCTTGGGTTTTCTAAATCTCCTAAGGGGAGAAACACCGGGCTGAGTCCTGAAGCAAGAAATGGAGGCATTATTCACAACCTTGGGTTGAAAAATAAGCATTTGGGGCTCGGAGTCCTCTGAAAAGCTACCAGGCATTGCTCTGGGGAGCTGCAGGCTGCTGCCCAGCACCGGATTTCGGGTTTCCCTGGTCCCGAGCAGACGCGGCACCTGTCTGAGCCAGGGGAAGGTGGGCTGCAGGACCCAGATCTCCAGGACACCCGCTAACCCCCATTCTCCCCATGCGCGCGTGTGTGTGCACCCAAAACAAAAGCGCTCATCGAGATGACTCTGGAGGGTGCTTCTTTGGACGGTGCTTCACAGACAGGGTGAGACACGTCTTATGGGGACGCGAGGCCCGGGAGAGCAGGAACGGGAGGATTTCGCTCTCCAACCAGCTCCGGACGGCTGCGAGCCCGGTTCCACGTGGAATCGGAGCGGAGACTCAGGCCGCCTTCTCCCGAGTCCCGCCTAACCCGCCCTCCCGCCCTCCTGCCAAGGACGCCGAGCGAACTCCACGCTTACCTTGACCGAGCGCTAACACCAGCCGCGGCGGCAGCGGCAGCAGCGGCGCACCCCTTGTCCGGCCGGGTCCCATCCTGGACCTACCCTGGGGACGGGAGCTGCTCAGTGTGCAGAGGATGCCCTTGGCCGAGGGATACAAGAACCCGGACCCTCTCCAGAAGCCGTCGGGAGGGCTTCTCTCCCCGCCCGGGTGAGCTCAGGAAAAAGTTGCCGGGCCGCTCCCGGGCCCGCCCAGGCCAGCCCCTCCCGCCCGGGCAAACGCCGGATCTGCGCCGGCCCCGCCCCGCCGAGCCCCGGCCCCGCGGGCTACACCTCCGCGGCTCCACACCCCGGCGCGCCGCACCTTGTCTCCCCAACAGCCGCACAGCCCCGGCATCCTGGAGGCGGCGGGGATGGGGCTCACGCGCCTGGCGGCAGCATTTCCTACCCTGGGCTAGACTGGCCGAGCACCTGAGCCCTGGCACTACCCTGCCCCCGGACAGCCTGTCGCCCGCCCGCAGCAGAGCCCTGGCCCCTCCACGCAGTCCTTTGCTGCTCCCGGGTCCTTGCAGGGGGAGCCGCGAGCCCTAAGCCACAGCTCCCAGGGGCTGCGCGATGCGTCGTTTTCTCTGCCTTTCCAAACTGGGTGGAGAAGGGGACAAAAATAAGTGCAGAATGACCAGGTTAGAAACTAGCTCATCGGGAAAGAAGTTATGATTATCCGAGGTGATATTTAAGCACGACCTGCTGCAAGAGCTGTGTGTGTGTGTGTGTGTGTGTGTGTGTGTGTGTGTGTGTGTGTGTG